CTCTGACACGCGTGTCATAGGTTCGCCATCACTGCTCTAGAAGATGCTCCTTTCTCTCACTCTCCATGTCAGGCCTTAGGACATTTGCTCAACAAATATTCACTGTGCAACCGCAATGTGATAGCAAAGCTCTATTCTAGGCATTATGAGCGTAGAGGGTAATGTGGGGACAAGGACACATATGTAATATCTTAATCAATAAAAAATATATTAAAAAAAAGAAAGTTGTACTTATACTACCTATCTCAAGACTTACTACAGTAATCAAGACAGTACAATATTGATATAAGGATATATAAGTAGATCAAAGGAATAGAAGAGAATTCAGGAATAAACCCTACACTTGGCCAACTGCTTTTCAATAAATGTACCAAAATGTACCAATTCAACAAATGGTGCTAGAATTGGAGATCCATATGGGAAAAAAAATGAACCTCAACTCCAACTTTACACCATAAATAAAAATTAATTTGAGGTGGATGGACCATAGTCCTAAATATAGAAAATAAAGGTGCAAAGCTTATAGAAGAAAACATAGAAGAATATATTCTCAATCTGAAAGTCTGTTAAGCTTTCTTAGACAGGATTCAGAAAGCTATAACCAAAAATTTTGATAACTTAGATTCAATCAAAAGTAAATCTTTCACCGCAAAGGAAACCATCAACAAAACAACAGGAAAGCCCACTGCATGGGAGAACATATTTGCAAATGTTATCACCGATAAGGGTTTAATCTCCAACATTTACAGGGAACTCATACAACTTAACAAAAGGAAGATAAAACAACCCAATCAAAAAATGGGCAATGGACCTAAATAGATACTTTTTGAAAGAAGACAGAAGAAAGGCCAAAAGACATATGAAAACATGCTCAAAGTCACTAATCATCCAAAAGATGCAAATCAAAACAACAATGCGGTACCATCTCACACCTGTCAGAATGGCTGTCATCAACAAATCAACAAATGACAAGCGCTGACAAGGATGTGGGGAAAAAGGAACCCTCGTGCACTGCTGGTGGGAATGCAGACTGGTACATCCACTATGGAAAACATTGTGGAGTTGACTCAAAAAAATTAAATATGGAACTGCCATCTCACCTAGTGATCCCACCTCTAGGAATATATACTAATATATATCAATCAGAAAGAATATGTGAACTTCTACATTCATAGCAGCACAATTTAAAATAGCTAAGATCTAGAAACAGCCCAAGTGCCCATCAGTAAATGAGTAGATTAAAAAGTGTAATTTAATGTTAAACTCCTGTAGAGACAATAAAAAAAAGTAAATCTTTCGCTCATCTAAAGATAATATTAAGAAAATGAATACGTAAGCCACTGGGTGGTAGAAAATATTCACAAAATGCACATCTGACAAAGAACTTATATCTAGACAATATGATGAACTACTATAACTCAATAATCCAAAGACAACCCTATTAGAAATGGGCAAAAGACTTCCTAGTAGTTATAATACTCAGCTGTACTTATTTACCGCACGCGTGTCTCACTCTTTAAGAAAAATGGCTTGTGTCTTCCTATAACATAACATGGACTATGTCTTCCTATAACATAACAATGTCCCATAGATACTATCTCTCAGAATGTATTTTATAGGTTAAGACCTCACAGATTAACTTTTTCTCATGGTCACACTAGAGTAACAGAGCAGGAACCAGAACCTACATTTGTTGAATCTGTCTTCGAAAATAGTGCCTCATAAAAGGCAAGCTAACATTCATTATTTGCCTAATCCTGCAGTTAGAATTATATCTTGAAGTTTTAAGTTTTTATGCCATGGACCACAAAGATCATTATATAATTTACTCCAATTTCATATATGTTTATTTTTTCAAGTGCCAGGCCTCTCTATACATTAAGTGTCAACTATTATGGAGAAGAGAACCAGAGAAGAAAGACTTAGGTTTCTAATATAAAATATTCATAAAATTATGTTTCTGAATCTTTATTTAGCACTCTTCAGTCCAGCTTCTTATTTACTCAGAAC